TGAAAATGTAGACGCTTAAAAAACTTTTGTTAAACACTGGATTTAAAACGAGACCCAAACAAATCTCTGATCAAAAATCAGGATGTTTTTTTCTATATGACTCTGAACAGTTTTATTTCTACTTTTAAAATGAAAAACCAACAAACTTTGAACAAGAGAAATAATTAAACCTGCACATGACACAAAAGTACGTTCTGTTAAATTCGATTATATTATCGTCCAAATAGATAGAAATTAAATTCTGTTCATGTCGCTCATTAAGAAAAACTTGTTTCTTCATAAAATGACTGAAAGAGTTGATGTCAAATTTCTCACTTTAGACAATTCACACAATTTATATTTGAGAAAATAAAATCTCTACTTCATAGTTTCTCTTCCTGCCACATTTGATTGGCTCTTTTGATTATATCATCTTGTTGCGCCACCTAGTGCTCATCTCGATGAACCAAAACAGTTTCTCTGAGAACGTTGTGAATATCTGTGATGCAATTGGATGGAAACTATTTTTAATTCACGTGGACTTAGTTTTCAACTTTTAATTAAGTTTGCATCCACTTGACTTTTGTCTCCTGCAGACCCGTTAATGTGCTCGCAGCGAGGAGTTCAGCCACCGGAGGTCAGCAGAATCAAGAGTTTCTACCTGAATCTCTGCAAAATCTAATATCGCTGCGATCGATCAGTAAAAATATTTTATTTCAGATTGGACAGTGAGTGTCTGATTTTTCCCTCAGCGTCACAGAGAATCACACGTTGTGTACGTTAATAAAACACAGTGTGTACGTTCATTAAGTCAAATTTCTGGGAATTTGAACTGTGAGGTTTATTGGTTGAGCGGTGACATGAGCGGAGGAGTGTATTTAAAACAGATTATTTTGATTGTTTGCTGTTGTAATTTATAAATGGTTGTGATTTGAGTTGTAAATGTTTTTTGTTTTTTAAGAAAACACAAAAATAAAAGACGATGATGAGCCCGAGTCATTTGTCATATTTGTTTTGAATCTGTATTGAAAATCATTTATCATTTTAATTACAAAAACACAAGGATGAAAAAACAACGTCATGTTCACTTTTCAATGTTTGAAATATAAACTACAGTTCAATTAGAAGCAAATAAAAATAGTGTTTTATTTCTGTAGTGAACTTTGAATCTGATCATATAAATTGGATTTAGTTATAAATTATATTTCACGACTCAATTTATCAGTGTCTAGTTTTCTACATTTAGATTATGGTATTTTATTTTGAAAGTTGTGACCGGATGTGAGATGTGTAAGTTCCGCTGACTCGACACTTGTCGTGATTTCTCTCAAATTCAGCATCAACGTGAAATTAAMCCSGRAYMSGACCCGGTCACATCCGGTCAGACCCGGGATACGACCCGGTCACATCCGGTCAGACCCGGGATAGTACCCGGGATGACAGCGTCACACCCCGGCGTGAGAGGCGCAGGACGGAGCCGCGGCACCGCGCAGACCCGGGAGCGAGCAGCAGGTGCGTCCATTCATCGTTCGCTTTCATGTGTTTGATCTTTTCTGTCGCTAACATCAAAACAAATCAAATCAAGGTGTCTTTGATCCTGTAGTGACTCGTCAGCCCGCAGCAGCCAATCAGAACTCCGTTAGCAAGTCCGCTCATTTTACGAGTCCGGGAATCAACGCGTTGTTTCGTTCAGACGCAGAAATCAAAGCCTTTTCCTCCGGAGTGATTTTTATCCAACATTAAATTATTGAAACGAGTTTGACTGCGTTGAATGAACTCGATTTATTACGTTACAGCTACAGAGGATGATGTTTGTCTCAGGCTGCTGCTTCTTACAAAGTCTGAGTTTTACACGAGGACGTGAGATTTAGTGTAATGAATTTATGCCGAATTTGAAAGTTTTTCATAATGATACAGAAACTATTTTAACTATTATGTTATTTATTACAGATTTTTATCTGTGAGCAATGAAACCTTTAATTTGTAGAATTTGTAAGGGAGTTTGGAGCCACAGCTATTTAAAGAGACAGGTGAAGCAGCTGTAATGATGGGTGATTAAATCAGTTTTTCATATTCAATCTATATTAAATTATATTTAGTCGTTGTCGAGGTGCGTTTGTTTTCTGTCACAGAGCCGCTGCTGCCGGGTGGGGCTGCAGGTGGCGCTGTCCGGCAGCGTGGTGCTGAAAGTGTCCTAGTGTGTCACTATACACCAGAGAAGAAGAAGAGTTCATTTTTTAAAATGAAGAAACATTCACAATAAACAACATAACAATAAAAACATATTAATTTATCATCATGTTAATTATTATTAAGTATTTCGGTTTGTTATAAAATCCTAATATTGTGATTTGTTAACATGTATACACCTTATCTGTGTGTATGTGCATACATAAATGTACGTATGTAACATTCAAGGTACCAAGGTTGATTTTAATAACGATGAACTCTTTTTGTTGTTTATAACGTTTCCTCATATTTAATATTCAGCCTGTTTCTGTATTTGTGTCTTTTTTACCTGATGTTTTCTTTCTTCAGGCTTCAGACGCTCAGACTGATCATGTGGGAGAAAACATTTCTGCTGCTGCTGCTTCACTCTGTCGACGGTACGACGTCATGAAAGACATTTTGAATCATTGATTCATCAAATGTAAACACGTTAAAAATTATTTGCTTTGAAAATGATTTGCTTTGAAATTGACTAAAACAATATTATTATTATTATTATTCAATCGATAATTGAAAAGCTGCCGATATTATTCTGACCGATTCTCTAACAAACTCTAAGTAAGTTTTGTTTACAAAATAAACATAAGTATATTTTACATATTTAAGAAAACAACATAACCCCAAGCCCCAACAGTTTGGGAAACAGAATTGACCACTAGATGGCACCGTCCTCTATCATGAAATAACCTGAATGTTTTGTTGCAGCTGTCATTACGTCTCAGTGCTGGCAGGGGGCGACCTTTTCTCACACGGTGGTGTCCCCTGCAGTGGAGAGCAGCGGCATCCTGCGGATACCTGGCGTGTCGACGTTGCCGCAGTGCGTGACGGCGTGCTGCGACCTGCCGGGTTACAATCTCGCCTGGCTGTTCGAGGGCCGCTGCTATATCCTGAGCTGCCAGCAGATGGAGAACTGCCAGCCGCGAGAGAGACCAGGGGCCAACTCGTTCTTGGCCTTCCTGAGGAGGGCGCCACCTCAGACACTAGTGCTTCAGTCTCTGGTGAGAGGGGAGCCGTACGGCAGTCGCTGGAGGCCCCTGTCGCAGTCCTCTGAGGCCCCTGGGGACCTGGAGGCTCTGAAGGACCTGGCTCTCTTTGACGGGCCCCGGCAGGACTTCTCTGACCCTGGGATGCTGGACGTGGAGTATTCAGAGGGAAGCCAGGAGGAGAAGGCGGGCGGAAGTTCAGAGGTGGAAATGTGGACTCATCATTCGCCTCTGATGGGACGAGACGGCTTCAACCAATCAGAAGCAGATGACGGTCCAGAGAGGAGGCCGACTGAGAGCAGCACGGCCCAGATCAGAGCCTCTTCTGTGGGGAACATCAGCCGAGGAGACGATGACAGAACCAGGAGGCCGACGGATCCTCCGGAGAATCTGGTGAGTGAAGAAACACTTAAAACCAAGAGAACGACTGACAGAGGAAAAAATTCAGTTTCATCTTCATGAACATTTAACTGAGACACATTTTTCTCAGATTTACTGGAACTAAATTTATATTTATATATAAAATAGATATTAATCATTATCATGAAATTCAAAATTGAAAAAAAAAAGTTTTTTCTCCTGAAGTTATTTTTCTCTAAATATCTCCTCCTCCCCTGGATTTATAATTTAACACTTTTTGAATTGTGATAAATATTTTTTTTGCACGTTTTTTTTACAGACCATAACACAAGGTGGCACTGTTTCTTCATCAACCATTGACTCCACCCATCAAGACCATTCAAGGACTACAGCTCCACCCCCGACCACAGCTCATTGGCCGAGCAGCACAACCACACCGACGGGTACAGACGACATCAAGATGTTTTCAAAGTGGATCAGCATTATAACTGTTATCAAGACTTTTAAGTTGAAAATCCTCCAGGAAGCTGTTCAGGTTTTAGTCATGATACAGAAACTTGTTTCATTAACTTCACAGATCGATTCCCGACGCCGCCGCTCACAAAACCTGAACACATGTTGTCTCCAGTTTCACCTGGACCCACAACCGGTACACACACACACACACACACACACACACACACACACACACACACACACACACACACGTTATAATAGGTTATTAATAGTAAAAGTATTACAGTATTAATATAACAATGATTTTAATCTCTGATCCACAGACGTCATGATGACGCTCCACTCAGCAGCCGCAGCTCCGCCCACTACGTCCCACCCCCTAGTCAAAACCATGACCTCTGACCCTCCCACCGTCACCTCACCTCTCAGCCCCGCCCCCCCCACCACGACCACCCCCTCTGCTGCAGCTGCTGAGTCTGGTAAAAAAAACTGTTTCGTTAAAACAACAGTTTTTAAATGTAAATTAAAAAAAAAACTTAGACATTTCTGCTGTGATTTTGTTCAGTGTCGCAGGACGTCGGGTCAAACCTTGGTCCAGTGGCGGTTGTGGGTCCTGACAGGAAGTTGTTCCTCCCGCTTAGCAGCTTGTTGCTCGATGGCAGCGGAAGCACCGACGACCGCGGCATCGTCAGCTACCACTGGGACGCCATCAGGTCGGATGATGCACCGACCACAGTACAACTGAAGTGAAATACTTTTGTGTTTGTTTAAAATCATGTGAAGACGAACCTCCGTCATGTTTCTTCTCCAGCGGTCCTCCGGGGTTAAGGCTGGAGGATGTGGACCGGGCGGTAGCTACGGCAACAGGTCTCCGGGTGGGGCGCTACACCTTCCGACTGACTGTCTCTGACCAGCAGGGGGCGAAAGACAGTGCCTCACTGACTGTCAGGGTCGAGGAGGGTAGGTGGGTTTGAATCTCGTAAATTTAAAGATCTGATTCACCAGTGCGTTGATTCTTCTCTGGTCCTTCCTCCTGCAGCCGCTCGTCTTCCTCCGGTCGCTCACGCCAGCGGCAGCCACACGTTAACTCTGCCTAACAACTCGCTCATCCTCCGAGGATCCATCACCGATGGAGACCAGACCAGGGTCCAGTACCTTTGGGTCCGAGACAGCCAGAGTCCTGCTGCTGGGGTCAGTTCAGACCCTTTTAGATTAAAGATTAAATATTAAGATTAAAGTCCCTCTCATGACCGTGTGTCTGCAGGACGTCCTGTACGGCTCGGAGACTCAAGCCTCTCTGTACCTGGCGAACCTGGTTGAAGGAACCTACCTGTTCCAGCTGAGGGTGACCGATGCTCAGGGACGCTCCAGCACGGCCACGGCCACGGTGGAGGTCCGACCAGGTGGGACGAGAGTGCAGACTGAGGGCTGGGGGGCGGGGACCGTTTTCCTCACGTTTTAAGTTTGTCCCTTATGTTTATCTGTAGAGCCGGGCGGGGGGGAGGAGGTGGAGCTGGAGATGCTGGTGTCAGTGTCTCAGGTGAGTTTGTCTCAGAGGGACACGGTCATCCGTCAGCTCGCCGCTCTGCTGCACGTCCTCGACAGCGACATCCAGGTCCGAGCGCTGCAGGGACACTCGCACCTCAGGTAATGACCGACTGGTTACTGACTGGTTACAGACTGGTTCAATGAAACATGTTTCAGGTGGCTCGTCTTTAATAGAAGTGTGAACCTGTTTCCTGTGTTCTGCTCCAGCTCGGTGCTCAGGCTCTCGGTGTGGGGCCCCTCGGGGCCCCTCTCTGGCTCCAGGTTAGTGAGTCTGTTGAGGAACCAGCTGCTCAGAGAGAAGAGCGACTACCTGCTGTTCAGAGTCCTGAGAGTCGACACCGTGTGTGAGTGTGAATCCAGATTATTTTCTTTCTCTGGGCTGGTTCTAATAGAAATACAGATTTATCAAACTCAACACGTTTTACACAAAATATAAAAAGTCCAAATTAAATACAGATGTAAAATAATAAAAAGTGTTGTTTTGACAGATTCACATTTATTTTAAATCTTAAAACCTAAATGTTTGTGTGTTTGTGTTTGCGTGTTCCCTCAGTGTGTTTGCTCCACTGTTCGGGGCGTGGTCAGTGTGATCCGGTCACAAAGGACTGCACATGTGACCCTTTCTGGACGGAGAATGTGATTCGCCGTTACCTTGGAGACGGAGAAAGCAACTGTGGTAACTCTGATTATTAGCACAGAAAAATATTCTGTCCAATGTTTGTTTCTTTATCGAAGTGTCTCTGCTCCTCCTGACAGAGTGGAGGGTTCTGTACGTCATCCTGACCAGTTTCCTGCTCATGGTCGTCATCCTGTCCGTCAGCTGGACCTTCATCTGCTGCTGCAAGAGGTGAACGCACACTTTAACCCTTTCCACGATGATGTCACAGAGTCTCTGGTTCTGAGATACTGAAAGAAACAGCTGATGGTTGATCTGTGTGTTCAGAAGGAGACAAACCAAAGTGAGGAAGAAAACCAAATACACCATCCTGGACAACATGGACGAGCAGGAGAGGGTGGAGCTCAGACCCAAATTCAGTGAGTGGCCTCAGTCTCATTGGTTCAATGGAAACATGAAGGAGGGTCAGAGGTCAACAACGTGTAATCACACAAATCCTGTTCAACCTGTTCAACCCCCTCAGACCGTCTTTAACCTGCGTTAGTGTTAAACTGGGACATTTTAGTTTAGTTCAATGTCTCAGTTTATTGGTGACAGAAAAACGTCCCAGGACAGTGTCTCTAAAAGGTCGTACATCAGAAAGAAAGACATGAATATGTATGAAAATATATAAAAGTGTGGACAGTACGTGACGAGGATTGGACACTTTCCTCTGTGCAGGTATCAAACACCGGAGCACAGAGCACAACTCCAGCCTGATGATGTCAGAGTCGGAGCTGGACAGCGACCAGGACACCATCTTCAGCCGGGACCGACCCGTCCGCAGCAAGATCCAGCTCAGCGCTCAGGCTAGTCGCAACGGAAACGCCTTTGGATGACGGGATTACCGACCTCCATGTGACACAGACAGGACCCTTCCAGGATGTTTGCACTCTGGCGGCCCCAAGTGGTGAGGAGAGATAAGTCTTCTTAAAGTTTGATGAGCTCAATCCTCGTTAGTGAGATCAGTAATGAACGTCAGGGTCAGACAAACCTGCCACTTCCTAAACAAAAAGGATTTCAAGGCCTTCCGACAACTGTCATCATTTATCACATTAGCTAACAGGCTAATCGAAGCTAGCGTGAGCTTCATTTATTGTTTTATCTCAATAATAATTGTTAAACAATTAGCATCCGACACATCCATCCAGAGTTTAATGACCAGAGGACCTCCGCTCGACTAAGACAAAAAATATCATCATCCAAAAGAAGTCTGCATTATTATTAGCCTAGCTTAGCACTTTGACTGGGGGAACTGAAATTCTTATGAAAACATTTCCAGTATTAAACTGATGACGTCACCTAAACAAAGAAAAAAAGACAAGTTCATTTATTTCACTGTCTTCATAAAAGTCGTCCTCCATGTTAAACCTAGCTTAGCACAAAGACGTTAACCAAAGGGCAACAGTCAAAAAGCAAGAATTTCTAATCGGATTAAATTGTTGTACGTTGTTTATTTAATAAGCGCAGCGGCAGTGGATCTATTTCTAAGATTTAATTCATGAGAACAAAGCTCCTTCAGAATCAACGATGCTGCTGGCTCCTGATGAGGGAGCTCGTTATGACTCTGACTCTGTAAAAAACCACTCAGTCTTTTTCAAAAACTTTAAGTCTGGTTTTTATTTGCTCACTTCCGTCTTTCTGAGCAGCTGCTCGTACCAACATGACATCACCACACACCTCCTCATGACATCATCACATCATTACATCACCAAGACTCACATATGGCTCATACAGGCAGAAAACTGCTTCTTGTGCTTCCACTTCTCTCGGAGGTTCAGACAGAACCTGCCACAGATCTAAATACGTTTTACCACAAAGAATGACTTTCATTTCTTTGATTCCTTTTATCTCTACACATGGATTTTTCCTACAGACTGGAAGCATGCAGATGATTCATCGTTCACATCAGACCACGTAACATCTATATCACTCCTATCAAAGTTTTACCAAAACGGATCTTTAACAGATACATATACACTTATCTGAAGGTCTATTCATAAAACTAGTAACATGTGTAATACATCAAAAAATATATTATTTCAAATTATGTTCAGACCCAAAGTGAATGTTTTACTATTTCTTTTGTATTACATCATCATATTTAGGGATTTTAATCATTTAAAAAAACAGTCTTCACTGAAATAATCCTACGACAGAACTTTAGGAAGTTTAGAAGCGTTCAAACTATGTAGCGTAAGGTTTAGTGTATTCTGTCTTAACAGTAGAAAACTAAATGTCTAATACAGGAAGTTTGTGACGGACGAGAAGATGCTGATTTTATGACGTGACCGTACCAATGTTTTTAACTAAACCCCGCCCCAAACAGTCACTCTCCAATCACAGCTTAGCAACTGTTACTAGGCAGAGCGGGCGTGTCAGTTTAGACTCGTCTTTTTATTCGATTCTCCGATAAAAGTGTGAAAAGCTTTAACAGCATGTTAGCCTTCTCTAGAGTCAACGGCTGATGTTAGCATGCCTGGCTAACTAGCAGCAGTAACAGTTTTACTTCCAAAAATTTAAAGGAACCAAGAAGTTAAACCCAGAGACGACTCTGTCTTTACTGTTCCAACATTTATTACTTCTGCTGCTTTTTATTGTTTTTTTAATCTGTCTGTATTTTGTTCATTTGTGAATTATTGTTCCTTTACTGTATATTTGTATATTTGTATTGTAATCAGGGCATCGTTCAAAAAAAGAGAGCTCGCTCTCAGTGGCTTCCCGCCTGTATAAATAAAGGTTTGAATGAATCAATGAAATCTTTTTGTCTTGAACAAGTTTACATTTTTTACACTAATAATTTACTGCAAAACAAGGTTTTAACGACGTTTTAACGACATTTCTTTTACAGAACTATTACAAAGAACTAAATTATGACACGTAAATAGCCGATGAAAAATTAACTCCAGACTCTTTTTACTCATCATAAAATCAGTGGCCTGGAGATGAAGAGTTTCTTCTCAACTTACGATGCTAACGTTAATTAGCTAGCTGGCTATGGCTGCGGAAATCTGTGGAAACTATCATTCAGAAAATAAAATGCTGTTTTTTAACAAGGTGGGCAGGGCTTAACAGTTACCAAGGTGGGCAGGGCTTATCAACAATGGAAGGCTACAGCTCCTCCTACTGAGAAGTAAAATAATGTTATTCCAAAATAAGAGCACGACTGAACAATCCTCCAGTTTAGTTTAGTGGATCGTGACTAATTTACGACAGAACTGAATATTCACCTCTGATCAAAACATGATTAAATGCAAAAGATATTTTTCAAAAAAATATTTCGCTCGACTCTGTTTTATATTTTATGTCATCAGGAGCGTTCACATTAAAAATCTGTTATTTCCAACCTGGATCTACGGATCATGCTGGACGAGCGTGTCGCTGCCTCCTGGTTCAGAGTTTGAGGCCTCCCAGACACATGTACTTGACGTCCAAATACTCTTCGATTCCGTACTTGGAGCCCTCGCGGCCCAAACCGGACTGTTTGACCCCGCCGAAGGTGCACTCCGGGGTGGACAACAGGCCCTCATTCACTCCCACGATCCCCACCTCCAACGCCTCGGCCACCCGCCAGATCTGACTGATGTCCTGCGAGTAGAAATAACCTGAGAAAAAAAGAAGCAGAGTTTTCAGCTTCCTGCTGAAGCAGTGGAGGAATCTTTAGACCTTTAAGATGAAAGTATCTGGTTCTATCAGAGTCCACGTTCACAAACATGTTTTTACTGCAGGAGCTCACAGGGCTGAACTCACCTGCAAGTCCAACGTTAGACGCGTTAGCGACGGCCAGCGCCTCGTCCTCGGTATCAAACCTGTGAAAACAAAACAGGTTCTGATAAGTGACCAACACAAGCAGCGGCAGCAGCTTCTCTACCACTTCTTTATGTTTTAATACAGAACCGACTTTATTACTTTTAGTTTTTCCTTCCACTACACCGACCAGTGACTTTCAGTCTACATGCATATCATTATTCAGACTCCTATGAGGTCACTGTGACCTTTGACCCAAAAACCCATCAGTTCATCTTTGAGTCAAAGTGAATGTTTGTACAAAGTTTGAAGAAATTTCCTCAAAGCGTTCTTGAGATATTGTGTTCACAAGAATGAGATGAGAACATTCCCCATCTGGCCACAGGGTGTCGCTGGAGCATCAACAGATGAAATAAGATGAAATAAAATGAGCCGGCCCTTTATTACTCTCAGCTACGAGCTCATTGGTTCCAGGTTTTGTTATTTTAAAGAGCTCAGAGATTAAATAAGTGAAACTTAAGATTTCTCATGATGAGTCTGGACTCGGACCTGATGACCGGCAGCAGCGGGCCGAACGTTTCCTCTTTGGTGCAGATCATGTCTGTGGTGACGTCAGCGAGCAGAGTCGGTTCCATGAAGGACCCGTCCAGACGCTTCCCTCCCCTCAACACCTTCGCTCCCCGAGACACGGCATCAGATATCTGGTGGACCACCTGAGGGACAGAGGACGGGTCAGACGTCACCAGGACACAAACCAACTCAACGAACAGAGCCGGATCTGCACCTTCTCTGCAGCTCTGGTGTTGATGAGCGGCCCCTGGGTGGTGTCGGGCTCCGAGCCGTGACCCAGACGGAGCTCGGCGTCCATCGCTCGGCCCAGTTTCTCCATGAAGTGATCGTAGACACCGCTCTGGACCAGGAACCGGTTTGAACACACACACGTCTGCAGGGAGGAGACGTCACGATAACACGTCAGTGACACTTTGTATGATCTCACATGTTACGCTGCAGTATTAACACATAAGAGTTAACTACACGGACTCTTTTATTTTCTGACTGAGGGTTTGATATATTATTTATTATTATTTATTATTATTTATTTTGTTTCATTCACTGATCAATTACCTGAAGGATCTTAGTTGCAGTACCACAGTACCACCACACTACTACAGTACACAGTACCACCACAGTACCATAGTACCACAGTGTAACACTACTACACTACCACGGTCACTTTTTCAGACTCCTGCGTTACCTGTCCGGAGTTCCTAAACTTGGAGCCCATGGCTCCGCCCACTGCCTTGTCGACGTCAGCGCTGTCGAACACGATGAAAGGGGCGTGGCCACCCAGCTCCATGGACGTCTTCTTCACTGTGTCGGCGGCCATTTTCAGCAACACCTGAGAAGAGATGACTTTAGATCCTCCAGTCGTTGGAATTACAAGATGACGAACATGATGTTTTTATCCTGAGACAGTTTACGACTCTGGACAGTCCCGGTCTGAATCCAGACATCAAACAACCAAACACCACAACAGAGACTTTACTTTGCCGGTGGCTGTGGAGCCGGTGAAGGAGACTTTTGCCACCAGGGGGTCGGTGCAAAGAACCTCCCCGACCGCCGGAGTCCTCTCTCTGGAACAAGGGACCACGTTAAACACACCCGCCGGGATCCCCGCCTGCTCCGCTAGCTACACACACACACACACACACACACACACACACACACACACCTGTTTATATCCTGTGAGATTTCTACTGGTGTCATGAAGGAGATAAAACTACAACAGTTATTCAATTAAAGATCGATTCTGTCAACCGATGAATCGCCACTTCACTGATCTGTGGTTATTGCACTGACCTCGGCCAGAGCGAGCGCAGACAGCGGCGTGTCCTCCGCCGGTTTGACCACCACCGTGCAGCCGGCGGCCAGAGCGGCTCCCACCTTCCTGGTGATCATGGCGCTGGGGAAGTTCCACTGTAGAACAACACGACATTTACCAAACTTCTTTCCACTCAGAGTCGTTCTTACATTAACAGTTTTCAGGATCGTCGTCATCGACCAGACGAGTTTGAACCTTCACTCATCTTGACTCAATTCAAAAAGACACAGTGACCGTGACCTTTGACCTCTGAAACCTTCAGTTAATCTCCGAGCGCACGTGAACATTTGTACCAAATTTGGAAGGAAGATCTTGAGGCACGTTCACAAAGCAAAGACGAGAATGTTCATGAAATTCCAAATGGCTGCGTTATGTGACGTTCACAAGACCATGAGGTCACCTCGACCTTTGACCTCCAAACTCAAACCACTTCACCCTCGAGTCCAAATGAACATTTCTATCAAATCTGACGAAATTCCCTCGAGGTGTTTTTGAGATCTCGATGGTTCAGACGACGCTCTGACCACTGGGTGTGTTGTGATTGGCTGCTCACCGGTGTGATGATGGAGCTGACGCCCACCGGCTGTTTGAGGAGGAAGAGCTTCCTGTCCTTAAACGGTGAGGAGACGATGTCGCCGTAAACTCGCCGAGCCTCCTCTGAGAACCACTCTAGGAAGGAGGCGGAGTATGAGATCTCCCCGAGAGACTCCGCCATCGGTTTACCCTGAAAAACACACAGTCGTCCTGAGGGTGAAACGACGACAACGTTTCTGAGACAAAGATCACGACACAACAAACACATCCACTTCCTGCGTCTTTAGAACGTTCACCCGTCAACAGAATCCAGCGAGTTCCATACTCACACATTCAAACGTGATCAGTTTGGCGAGGTCTTGTTTATGCAGCGTCATCAGGTCGAACCACTTCCTCAGCAGGATGCTCCGCTCCTGCAATAATGCATAGGTATAAATATTGTTTTATATATATATATATATATATATATATATATATATATACACTGTATATATACATTCAATCTGTAACTTTCTCACTTTTAAACGTCTGAAACCATCAAACCTGTTTCACCTGCAGCTGAGTTTACATTTTCAAACCTGAAGAAATCTGTGAATAACGTTTGTTTATTTATTTATCATTTCAAGTCATGTGACTTTTTGTCCAGTTTAAAGTCACATTTGTACAAAAACACTTTTCAACTCCTCCTCCTCCTCCTCCTCCTCCTCCTCCTCCTCCATGTTGGCAGATGAACCAAACTAAAAGAGCAGACTTCAAATAAATGTTAGTAAAGATGGTTTCTGTCATTTCAGGTCGTGTCTCACTGGAAATTGCTGCTTTTACTTTTCTGTCAGTTTCTAAAGTAAATGATAAAAAAAAAAAGAAAGAAGAAATGAGCCTGTATTTGTTTTTGTGATGGAACATTAATATTAAATCGGAGGTTTGTTTGAGCCGAATTCACGTGTGCGTCCTGTTCACTGACAAAACACAATCCAACCTCTCTCTTGTAGTTTTCACTGAGACTTTTGCAGGATTCATATTGAATTGGACGTTTTTCGCAGTGAGGCTCGGCCAGAGCACAACACTGACACCGAGACACTGAAGTGAAAGATGAGTTTTTAATCTAAGCTGCGTGTTTTATTATAATAATGTTTAAACCGAATCAAAGTTCCACTCCTGTTTCAGGGGAATTGATCATTCACATTTAGTTGAGCTCCTGCTGCTGAGCACATGCGCAGGATTTGTGATTAATCGGAGGTTTCTCCAGGGGAGTCTGGTAAAGATGGTGGTGTGTACCTTGGCCGTGTGCCGCCTCCAGCTGTCAGACGCCTTGTAGGCAGCGTCCACCGCCCGCTTGGCCTCCGCGGGGCCGCAGTCCGCCACCCGGGCGATCTCCTGCCCGGTGGCCGGGTCCAGGACGGGGAACACCGAGGCCGCGGAGATCCAGCGGCCGTCCACGTAGCCCTGCGTCCGGAGCAGCGGAGCGGTGACATCCAGGCTGTAGAGCCGCTGCATGGCGGCGGGCAGCCCGGGGAGAACGTGCCGGAGGAAGCGGTGGGTCCTCGGCACAAAGACAGCGGACATACCGGGGGAGGATGAGAGCAGGGGCCGCTGGTTCACTGGCTCTGCGCGGGGCGGAGGTCTCCTTCGTCCCCGCAGCTTCCGCAACTGAAGCTCCGTCGATTTCTGTCGGTTTGAACCGGTCCAGAGGAGAAAGCGTGAAACCACGTGACTGTGCACAAAGGTTCGAGTCCGAGGGTCACTGAAGCATTTTAATGAGAAACATCCACTAAGTGCAGTACACACAGTACACACAGTACACACAGTACTTCATGTGTACAACTGTATAAACACACGTGCCTTTAATTATTCATGAGTTTATTGTGACGTATTGTAGGTGTGAAATAAAAAGTATTATTATTATGTTGTTGTTGTTGTTGTTGTTGTTGTTGTTATTATGATGTTATTATTGTTGTTGTTGTTGTTATTGTTATTATTGTTATTATGATTGTTATTATTGTTGTTGTTGTTATTGTTATTATTGTTATTATGATTGTTATTGTTGTTGTTGTTGTTATGTTTTCCAAACAGGAAACACGTGACGTCACTGTGAGGCTGAAATGAATGATGAGAAATTCAACAGTAATAAAAGAAAAAGATTCAAAGCAAAAAGAACATGTTGAGATTTTTCACGTTGCTACAGAGACGATGAACAAAGTGACACGAGGCCGATTCTGTATTTGTACATTTGATCAGGATTGAGATTGAAATCAGATCTGGTTTCATAAGGAACAGTGATCAGTCATCTGTGTTTACTTTGTCCTTCTGAGTCACTGATTAAACTTCACTAATGTGTCATCACGTCCACGACCCCTCGACCCTTTAGCTTCTGAATTCTCTCTGTTCGTTAATTCTCTCTGTTCATGTGAAAGACTTGAAAAACAAAACACGCTGATTAAATCTACTTTATTATCGAATAATCAAGTGAACATTTATTATCGTTTATCTGAAGATCAGGTGACGTCCACATCACCAAAGTTTAACGTTGAAATAAAATCAGTTGAATATGATCTAATGTTTATTTTATTTTACCCAAACTCCAGTAAAACGCGTGATGCTGCTGAGTGGAACCCTCAGCGGATCGATGCCTGTGTTATTAAATAAGGTTCTGTGACGATGGACAAACTGGAGATGAACTTTCAATTCTGTAACTTTGTTCTCATTAATTGAAATTTGTTTTCATAAAATTATATCTGTCCTAAAAAGTTATCTGCCATATATGTTAATTAATTTTAATAGAATATTATGGAGCGGTGCCCTTTTTCACTTGAGCGCCTGGGCCCTGAGTGTGCGTGTGCACGGCCGTGTAAGGCCCTCGGGGCTGATGATGTCAGGAAAGTGAAACTCAAGGAAACAGCAGAAGGTTCATCGACACTCTCATCCGAGATGGGCGTCCGGGGTCTGTCCTCACTGCTGGAGACCCACGGGAGGATCTACCGGGAGGTCGAGTTCCAGAGGAGGCGGCTGGTGATCGATGGCTGTAACCTGCTGTTCTCGCTCTACCTGCTCTCAGGTGAATTTAAAGATCAAACTTTATTTAAAACAGAAGTTCACACTGAAGTAACGTGTTCTGACAAAACTGTCTG